CCAAGTTTGATCCGTGGTAGGAAAAAAAAAAATTGAATAATAGGATCACAGAGCTGAAGATATGGCTCAGTGGTAGAGCACTTACCTAGCATGTTTGAGGCCATGGGTTTAATTCCCAGCACCAAAAGAAAACAAAACAGAATCATGTTTAGAGATGGGCACATGTACAGTCACGCCAGTGTGCCACTCAGTACAGATGGTGCACTTGTGTGCTTCTCTCTATACTAAACACCCCGAGCACTAACCCAAGGTGTTACTTTATTTGAGTGGGTAGCTCATGTACAAATGATTAAGAAAGAAGAAGAAGAAGAAGAAAAGAAGCTATTGAAAATAACAGCTATAATGAAATGTGTGCGTCTGAGAAGAACTGGAAATCTAGCATCAAGTAGATTGTTAATTTATAAAGCCACAGGGCTTTTTGGTGTTGCAGTTGGGTTTGCTAGATAGAGTAGCAGCTCCCTGGGATTTCTCCCTTGCCACTCCAGCCAGCGGATTCTGTTTCTACCAGATGCTGTGCAAGACATGGAGTCCTTTGAGGGTTGGGATTGTGTCTTCCTTACTCAACTTTCTCTCCCTCAAGGAAACTTGTCCAGAGTTTGTCATATAATAGAAAACAAGTAGCTGCTGAACTGGCAGGTGTCACCCTTCCCTTTTCTGCTGGTTCACGAGAGGATTTTCTACCTCACTCCAGCTCTTCTGTTCCTTTGGGGGTGCTTATAAGTAGACTATATTCAGGAAACCTGAAGGCAGAGAAGAGATGCAGCATGGTCAATCTGTTACACAATTATGGGATTACAGGTAAAATAAAACTATAAAATAAAGATATGCTTGTCTGATACAGGTTTTCTTCTCTGAGGCCATGCTTCTGTCCTATATAAGAGACAAAATCTTGAGCCTTATGAATTCTAGGAAATGATATTTACTAATGGTACCAACTATGTTATGGATAAGTGTCCTCCAAAGTCGTATGTGTTTAAAAAAAGTGTCATTAGCCAATGTGCCATTGGGAGGCGGGGTCACTGGGAGGAAGTTAGGTCATTTGGGATGTGCCCCCAAGGGCATTGTGGGCATTCAGATCTCCCCACTTTCTCGGCTTCCCAGATCTCATGGGCTGGGCAGCTTTCTGCACCAGACACTGCTATATCAGGAGAGGTGCCTTGCCACAGTCCCCAAGACAATAAGACCAGCTGACCACGGACTAAATCCATGAGCCAAAATAAACCTGCTCTCTTTACAATTTTGTCATCACCTGTGTTTTGTTACAAAATAGAAAGCTGCCTAAATAATGGGTAATATGATGTGGAAAACAGAAAACAGGTAATAACAGAAGTGAAGAGTGGAGTTAGGAACCTGGAAAGCTGGATTAAAGGGATCTGAACATTTGATACCAGCTAATATTGATGCTGATACATAGGAGTTAGCCCAAATATATAGTATCTGGGAAAATACTAGAGATCATCTTTAATTGCTACTGGGATTGTTTGAAAGGAATTGTTTGAAATTTGTCTAAGTCCAGGCAGTGAGAGGGGAGAAATGAGTTTAGTCTTCCAAGACTGTTCTGTGTGTTATCCAAGAGGTAGACACCCCATTGGCTGCTCAGGGCAAGCCATGCACTGGCTCCATAAGCTCTGCAACACGGTAGGGGTGACTACCTAGGGCAGAGAACAGCCTGTGGTAGGTAGTGAAAAGCAGGCATTACATCTCATGCAGACATGAAGAAGGCCCTATGTGTTTCCTTAGATGACTTTGTGAAAGTGCTTTTTTGTCACAGACCCCAGACATATTAATTATGGCTCCAGCTCAGTTGAGCACACACTGGTCCTGTGGTAACTCTCCAGCTTAGCTTTGCCCAAGCATAGAGCCCAGCCTTGCCCAACCATAAAGCATAAGCATATTATTCTGACCAGAACTGTCTTTCTTTGGCTGGACTGTTCTTTCTGTCTTGTCAAAAATCAAAAGACACAAGAACCTTGTGTTCCATCACCCAGAGGCATCAATGGTGACGCAAGTCAGGGTGTATGTCTTAATCTGTTTTATTTCAACCTGGGGTCCATATTGAGTCCCAACCTTCAGGCTAGACACCTGGGAAAACTTCAGATTTTCTCCAGCTGAGTGTTTGTGAAAGCTCTTGACTATGTCCCAAACTCTGGCATGATGAGAGGATGCCACATTTTTCAGAAAGAAAACCCACTCTGAGATGGTCTTGTCCACATGTGGGATTCAGAGGATAGAATAGAGCAGTCTTCTTTTTCTCACCTATCAGGCTGTATATATTTCATGCATGGTTTTGGTAGACTCTAGGCAATTGCTAGAGGACATAGGTGAGGTAAAAAGATCTGTTTTAACTTCAATATGATAAGGTTAGAGTTATAACTGAATCTTCTGAGCTTCCCTTAATAAACCACTTAATTTTCTAGAGCTTCCTTCAATAAACTTCTAATTTTTCAGTCTCTTTTGAATTAGCTTATATTTTCAGCCTGTGCAGGTACTTGTATTACTCATTCATAGGCAGTAATGTAGAATAGTTGAATGGTTTGGATCTAGAATTAAGCAGATCTATCAGCACTGCTTACTAGTTGTGCCATTATGGTGAGCTACTTAAAACACTTACCAGACTTAATTTGGAACTTGGCAAATGGTCAATTTTTCTCTGGAGGGTGCCCCAACACATGTGTGAAGTGCCTGGCACAGTACAGAAAACCCTCAATAGTACCTATATTTATTCATTCAATCAAAAGAAACATGTATTAGACACCTTCTGGGTTCATGCATGCTAGGTAGAAAAATGCTTCAAGACATTGGTCTCTGTCCATAAGGGGTTTACAGAGAGTGTTGATAGAGATGGAGAAGCTAAGCACTTTTGTAATTTCAAAGAGAGAAAATAATAAAAGAAAGGAAGTATTCGAGAATAGGGTAATCTTTGGATTGGATCTTGTAGGATGTAAAGAATGTGGACATGCAGAATTGGGTGAGATTAAAGCAACCAACATTCTAGAGAAAAAAAATCCTAAAAGAGTCATTGGATGGGAATGGTGAGGGTATGTCAATATCTAGAATCATTCTGATTTATTATAGGAAATAAAGTGAGCAAAGGAGAGAAACCAGAACCCCCCCACAAAAAAAATACTGAGAGAGAATCAGAATAGGAATATCTGCGATGTTAAAAGATTTGACCATCAAAGACTTTGGGGGACTACCTTTCCTTCATTTCTCTTCAGAGTTCTTCATTTATGACCTCTCAGCATTATTAATTAGCACAGGAATGTCTGAGAATTATTATAGTTTAATTATGATATACTGGTTGGGAGAGGGGTAGCCTAATGAAGATCAGATGGAATAAATGTCTAATAAAGCTATAGACAAGTACAGACAACATTAAAACCCTTAGCAGACTGTCTTAGTTACTTTTCTGTCATTACTGAGACAAAATACCAGACACCCAAAGCTAAAGGGGAATAGGTTTGCTTGGCTTATAGTTTGTAGAGGTTTCAGTCCATAATCAACAGGCTCCAGGGTAAGGTGGCAGAGCGGCAAGAGTTCTTCGCAGTGGAACACAGCAAAAGCAAGAGATTTAAACAGCGTCTTTCTGCTCCTTTTATCTTATTCAGACTACTGGGATTAGGGCAGTGCCAAACCAGGCACTCACGTGTAGTGGTTTAGTAATTACACACCCTTAATCCTAGCATCACACACTCTAGATTCATCCACCTATGACCGCATAAGGCTTGGAGGGGGACATCTAGACCCAAACTATAACACAGACTTAATTTGGGACTTGGCAAATTACCAATTCTCTCCTTTGGAGGGTGCCCCAATCTTGAGCCTTCAAAAATCTATATTTATACAGTATTTTGTCTGACCTTTAGTTATTGACAAGATTGTCATCTTATTCCTTTTACTCTATCTCAGTGACACTGACCAGAGTGATGGCTGCCATCATGTGGCCTGACTACATCCCAAATCTTTTCCCACTTATTTTATTACAATTCCCTCTGCTTAAAGTATTTTGAAGTAAAGGAGCCCTTCTGCTCTTGGGAAAATACAACTCTGTTGGTGAAAATGATGAGGAAAATTACCAGGCAAAGGATTAGACAGGCAGTTTGTATTTTGTTTGAAGATTTGTAGTTTTTTTTTAAATAGCTAGATTGATTATAGCTCAATCAGTGTGGGTTTAGGATGGGTACAGGGCATAAATTGATTGGATTGCTTTTGCACCAACATGGACTTTCCTTCCTGTATGAGGGACTCACTTGAATTTGGAGGGTGGAATAATTTGCGGCTTCTTTTCAATCTAACTGGGACTTCTGTAGTCCCAGAGGACAAAGCACATGGACTTAGCAGTGAAGGGACAGTGAAGTTCCACCCTCTGGAAAAAGGAAAGGAGAGGCCTCCAGGAGATGAGGTAGCTTCAAAAGAGCAGGTCACAAAGCCCTCCTCCCTGGCTACCACCCCTAGGGCCTAGGTAAATGTGCATTTCAATTGCTACTTAGTGCTACTAAAGGTTCCAGGGAACATTTAAGCTTTCCAAATGTTCCTTACTTTTGTAATCCCGGCAGACACCCTGCAATTACATATATATATATATATTTAAAAAAAACTCTAAAATTAGGGCCAGGGATTCAGCTCAGCGGTTCCGCCGCCTGCCTCGCAAGCAAAAGTTCCAGAGTTTGAAGCCAAGTACAAAAAAAAAAAAAAAATCCCTAAAATGAAGAGAAGAGGCCCGGAAGAGGGTCGAGCATGGGAAGCTCACGAAGGTGCGCAGGGAACGGCTGGCGGGGCCCTGGAGCGGTCCCTGCAGGGCATCGGTGAAAGGCGGCGCTGTGTCCTGTGCGGCGATGCGCGTGCTGGGACGAGTCAGCAACCCCCGTCCTCCGGAGAACCGGCTCATCTGCCGCCGTCCACCCTACACTTCTGCGAGTCCGCGTCCCAGCCCAGGAGGGAGCGGCGAGGCAGCTCCTCGCCAGACGGCTCCAGTCTGCGGGCGACTGGGACCCGCCCGAGAAAGGCTTCCCTAAGGCGGGCGGCTGTCCGCGGTGCTGAACCTTCCTGTGGCGCGGGCCGGCCCGGGTCTTGCAAAGCGCGCCGCAGCCCAGTGAAACTCACACGTCCGAGGGAAGGCGACGGCGCAAAGGTCCGAGATGAGGTCCGCGGCGACTTCCCAGGCGCCACGCTGCAAAGCCCTGCCAGACCCGCTAGCGACTCGGTCCCGGCCGGGCTCTGCAGGAAGCAGAGCTGAGGGACAGGTCGTCCCCCGCGTCCCCGGTGCCTCTCACCCTCAGCAACTCTTCGTCCCGACTCTTCTCCCTGGAGACTACATCAAGGCGTCCCCAGCCGGCCGCCTCACGCCTCTCCTGTCTTTGTCCACAGCACGCTGCCTCTGGATCCAGCTTCTCCAGAGGCGCCGCAGGGTCCCGCAATCCAGACTGCCCCTCGCTTCTCGGGTCTGGGTTGTCAGCCCCCCACCCCCAACTATTCTCTAAACCCGGAGTTGGGCGGCGCGAGCTCCGCCCCCAGTTTCCGTAGAGGCGGCGCTGGAGTAAGGGGCGGGGCGGAGGGGAGGCGCACCCAGCCCCTCTCAAAAGCGGCTACCGCTGGGAGCCCCGGTCGCTCAGCTCCGGGGAGAAGCCAGGAGCTTGAGCCACCGTCGTGGGGAGGATTGGTGAGGGACAGCAGGAATTCTGCCCCTTCCTCCCGGGAGCGCTTCACGCCTGGCAAGCCCCCCGCACAGGTAGGACTTGGCCCTGGGTGTGGGCTGCGTGGCTCGTGAGGGCTCATTGAGCAGGGGCGTTTCAATAACCTGCGCCTGTCTAACCACGCTTAGGTTTATTTTACGGGGGTGGAACGACAGCACTTTTTATTGTTGCTCTGTGTCCAGTTATTCCTGAGGGAGGACTTGGTGATGGCCAGGGTGGGTTGGGAGGGCGTGGTTGGCCTAGGAGTGATAGATGGAGGATGGGAAATGACAGACTTGATTATCTTCGGACAGGTGGTCATGGGCTCCCTGCCCACTCGAAACCCTGGGGACCAGGACTCGCCTTCTGGGCTCCCGCCGGCGGCTACAGTTCCCGCCAACCAAAGCGCAGAGGCCTCGGCGGGCAATGAGTCGACCTCGGGCTCCGGCGCCCAGGCCCTAACGCCCTTCCAGAGCCTGCAGCTGGTGCATCAGCTGAAGGGGCTGATCGTGCTGCTCTACAGCGTCGTGGTGGTCGTGGGGCTGGTGGGCAACTGCCTGCTGGTGCTGGTGATCGCGCGGGTGCGCCGGCTGCACAACGTGACCAACTTCCTCATCGGCAACTTGGCCTTGTCGGACGTGCTCATGTGCGCCGCCTGCGTGCCGCTCACGCTGGCCTACGCCTTCGAGCCGCGCGGCTGGGTGTTCGGCGGCGGCTTGTGCCACCTGGTCTTCTTCTTGCAGCCGGTCACCGTCTACGTGTCCGTGTTCACGCTGACCACCATCGCGGTGGACCGCTACGTCGTACTGGCCCACCCGCTGCGCCGCCGCATCTCGCTGCGCGCCAGCGCTTACGCGGTGCTGGGGATCTGGGCCCTGTCCGCGGTGCTGGCGCTGCCGGCCGCCGTGCACACCTACCACGTCGAGCTCGAGCCCCACGACGTGCGCCTGTGCGAGGAGTTCTGGGGCGCTCAGGAGCGCCAGCGCCAGCTCTACGCCTGGGGGCTGCTGCTCGGCACCTACCTGCTCCCCCTGCTGGTCATCCTCCTGTCTTACGTCCGGGTGTCGGTGAAGCTCCGGAACCGCGTGGTGCCGGGCTGCGTGACCCAGAGTCAGGCCGACTGGGACCGCGCGCGGCGCCGCCGCACCTTCTGCCTGCTGGTGGTTGTCGTGGTGGTGTTCGCCGTCTGCTGGCTGCCGCTGCACGTCTTCAACCTGCTGCGGGACCTCGACCCGGGCGCCATAGACCCCTACGCCTTCGGGCTGGTGCAGCTGCTCTGCCACTGGCTCGCCATGAGCTCGGCCTGCTACAACCCCTTCATTTACGCCTGGCTGCACGACAGCTTCCGCGAGGAGCTGCGCAAGCTGTTGCTCACCTGGCCCCGGAGGATCGCGCCCCACGGGCAGAGCGTGACCGTCAGCGTGGTCATTTGATACTGGGGCGTCAGACCTGGGTTGGGGAGCTTCCGTCCGCTGACCTCTGAGGTCGGACTAGAGTCGGGATTCCTAGCATCAGAGCTAAGACGACACAGGGCAGGCCTTCCAGTGCAGCCCTCTTGTCTGGCTCCTTCTTGTGTCTTTGTAAAATGTTAAGCGGGCTTTGGTGTGGAAGAGGCCAGGGATAGGGAAGAGGAGGATTTATGATTTCTTCTTCATGACCTAGAAAGCCAAACAAAAGCCTTCTTCAGAAGGATTTGGTTCTAGTCCTTGCTATCTTTCCCACTTACTCAGTGGTAATAAAGGAACACTGTGAGTGGGATTTAAAACCATGGTGTTGGCTTGGTAATGATTTTCAGTTTACTTTTTTAAAGGGACCCAACTGAAATATAATACCTGATATTGTCTTGCCAGCTTGAACCCCTGGATCTCTAGGATTTCAGGTAAATATATATTACACATTATTTCTAGGGTTTCAGCACTTCGTGAATAAGACCTTTATGCACCAAAAGTGTTTTATTTTTTATTTTTTTGGTACCAGGGATTGAACTCGGGTCCTTGCGCTTGCGCAGCAGGCAGTGAAACCATTGAGCTAAATCCCAGCCCAAGGGCAAGCTGCCTTTTAAAAGGCCTTGCTTTTGTTTCCCTCTTCTCTCCCCCATCCACCATTTTAATATGATGAGATGAATTAGTGAATGAATAAATAGCTGAAGAGGAAAAAGCCCAGTTCACTTAGGGGGATGTTTAGCTGTGCATAAAGACTGGCATGCTGTGTGCGTGCATGTATATGTGTGTGCATAAAGCCAATATTTGTGACAAGGCAGCCTCACATGTTTGATTTTCTGAATGCTCAATGTAAACTGTGTGCCATAGCATTCACTTGCATCCTCTAATTGCTCAATTGCAGCAGATCAACAGCTGTCATTTGACTGCTCAGCACCTTCTCCTTGGAGACATTCAGAAAATATCAACCCAGAATACAAGGACTGGCAGTTTATTTAAGGACAGCATAGAGAGATACACTGAAACCCACAAGATTATTATTAGGTCCAACATTAATTGCTTTCAGGGTTAAAGGAACTGATGAAGACTCTTGGGCATGACACAAGGCTGATAATAATCACTTTAGCCTGTTGTGAGTTTGGTTCATGAGGACAACAGCTCTAGGACAAGGATCTTCACGATGAATGCTGGAACAGCAACTGGGGCAGCCAGGACAGGGAAAATGGGAAATGATACACAATATCCAGCTGTCAGATCAGCCCTGTGGTATGTGTGGCATGAACAAGGGTCTGCAGCAGCTCAGCACCATCTGTAGGGTTCCACTGCTCCTCTGGCTCACTAAATAGCAAAATCAGTGTCTTTATTCCTCTTATTTCTATTGAATTAGATAGGAGTTCATTCACTCATTAAAGTGCTCTGAAAAGCAAAGAGGGGATAGTACTGGAAGGACGAGGATTAAATCCTGTTCGACCAATGTCAACTATGATGATGGAGCAAGTGTTCTTGACTGGCAGCCATAAGAGTCTTTAGTCATCACAGGGTTAGGGTCTTTGCAGTGTGAAGAAGAGCACAAGGATTGGGAGAAAAGACAAGGCAAATTAAGATGGGAGAGGGAAACAACCTCTGCCAATGATGCTACACTGACTTTGAACTTCACCTATGGATTGGAGAACAGAGAATTTATATTCTAATTATGCAGCCCATCCCCAGAGCATAATGTCACAGCATTAATTTCCTTGTCCTCATATGAGCTCATCTCCTAGGCATCTCAGGGCCTGGGTCCTGTGTTCCCAAGCACCTGTTGATTGGGAAGTTCCAAGCCAGAGCATTCTTGTGATAAGCACTTGTGGAGAGTGTAGGAATAGGGGGAAAGAATTGGATAAGTTAGGGAGAGATTTGATTAATGTTGGTGTCTTTGTTGGGAGGTTTAAATCACTGATTCTCAGTCCTGGTTACTCTTAGAATCACCCGGGGAACTTTACAAAACACTGATATCTAGTCCTATCCCCAGAGAGGCTAATTTACTTCAGATGGGTCCTGGGCATTTGCACTTCCAGTGATTTTAGTGTGCATTCAAAGTTAAGCACCTTAAGAATTATCCTCTTTTTTAATGCATCTGAAGGAAGCTTCAGTTGTACCTGCCAAAGTTGTTAAGATCTTGGACTTGAATTTGACACTGAGTTGCATGTCAAACTTGAGGATATTTCTTCACTCTTCAGACAAAACCAGATCTGTCACATAAAGGGAAATCCTTGGGATCAGAGTATATAGGTATTGATTCAAGTTTCCTCACCTATTTCCTTTGAAAAATACTACTGTATAAATCCAATCAGCTTAGAAGAGATATCGTTCAACTTTAGATTACAGTAAGAAGTTATATGCCATGAATTATTTCAAATCCTCATTATTAGGATGTTGAAAAATTAAAATGTTCCCTGATTGGTTTGATTTAAACCTGTATCAATTGTGAGAAGAAAGTATCCCCATGAATTACTGCTGGAGGTTTCTCTCGTGTCTACGACATAAGGTTTAAACATTTGTGTAAACTTTATGGACAGCCTAAAGAAGGGGAGAGTTATGCTAGGGCTTAGAAACATCTTTACAAATTGTGCAAATTGGCAAATGAAGAGCCACTAATGAATTGTTCCCCACGTAATATCCATTTAGGACTTGTTTGTAAAACAAACTTGACGTGTTAAAAAAAATCCCTCAGTTGAGTTCCAGAGAAATGCACACAGCAGTGTAGGTAAGAAATTGTATTTCATAATTCGTTTTAGTTAATGTCAAGATGTGTACCAAGGCCTATTCCTGCAAGGATTCAGACAGGAGCAAAGCTGGGAATCGAGCCAGTCTGGGACTTGGCAGCAGCCCTTCCCAAGGCTGACAGGAGATTCTGTAATCTTTTTTGTAAGCATTGTCACAGGTCTCACTTTTGGCAGCCAACCAATAGACTTATCTCGCTAAATCAGCAGAGGAGTGTTTCCGTATGTCTTGGCAACAGCAACCTGGGAATAGCAACTGTGAGAGATGCTAAGGTAACAATCTTCAATTGATGCAAACTTTCTGGTTTTTTGTTCTTTTGGGTTTTCAGGCTTCTCTTGTATGTGGGTCACATTTCTATTTTTATTTTCTCAGGTAGGCTAGTCAACCGCTGTGTCCTCTTTGCATTCCTGGACATCTAGTAGTTGAGGAACCTCAGGGGGGACCCAGGCTGGATAGGAACAAACACAGGCCCATCCCTCATGGAGGAGAGGTTGGGAGCACCTGTGTTTCCAAGGCAGGTCCTTGTCTGATTTGCCTCCATGTGTTTGTGTCTTTGCTATGTGTGCAAGCTGCTTATATTGCTGAGCCACTGTGTGATGCTCCTCAGGCTGGGGCTTGAACTGTGTTGAACACATTGTGGGTGCTCAATAAATATTAACTTGGCCAATAGAATTTCCAGTGTGGAATTAATAAGCCAACCCAGTTACACCCGTGGAGTAACTACATATGTCCAGGGTGAAAGCAAGGAGAAAATCATGCTGAGGAAAACATACTACTCAGTCTAGATCTGCCAAGTCTAATTGATGCCGGAGACAAACTGTTCATTTGGGGTCTTCTATGTTCTTTCTGTTCTATCTTGGTAATATCAGCGTTTCGATATATGGCACCAAACTCTCTGGTCCCCATGATTGCATGTGTTGAAATCCACAGGTCTATCAAAATGAAAGTGGAGGATTTTATGCTTAATTTCTATACTATCATGAATATGGGTAATCATTTAGGGTTAGCATTTCATCACCCATTTCCCACATATGACTTGGGAAATTTAAAAAACATCCAGTATGTGGGTCTGTAAATACAACGTAGAGGATTCCAAAACATTCATGACAGTCGTAAACAAGATTTTCTGGTAACATCCGGTATGATCAAACTACGTGGTGACTGTTCAAATTTTTAAAAAATTATTGCAGTAAAAGGCACATTGCCATTAACCTCTCTCAGAATACCCTTCTTCTCTTCAAACACACTCATCTTTTACTGTAATAATTTTTTAAAAAATTAAATACCCACTGTAGTTTTTGATCCTATCTAGTATAAAGTATCAATTAAAATGGATTTATGGACATCTTTTCAAGGGAGTCCTTTCACTTGCAATGTGAGATAAACTAATATTTGAATGTTGGAGAATATTTGAACTGGATGGGAGTTACAATCTTGATTTATTAAAAGACCAGACATTCTCAGTCAGAGTTTGGAAGTGGTGAGTTTTATTTTGACAACCAAGTCTGAGTACTTCTATCAGCTTTTAAAATTATTCTCCTCTGCTTAAAGCTCAAGTCTTCTCATTTCTCTCTCCCGCTCTATTCTTCCTTTTCCTCTGCTGTCTTTCTATATTATCTATAAAATCCCTCCTCCCCGAAGCCCCTTCTGCCTCAGTGCAGAGGAGGTGATGGCATTTGAGCATCATCTCCTGGCTGGGCCTCCTTGGCATTGTGAGGAGAGAGCCTGCTCATCTCACTGTGGAGGCCAGGCTGTCTCAGTGTGCTGTGGGCTGCAGCTCGAGGTATTTCTTGCTGACTGTGGGATCTGAGACTCACACTAAAATTAGTTAGTTCATAGTCGAACTCCAGGCCAAGGTAGATAACAGAAGTTCGTCCAGAATCTCCACAGGATCCTTAACTTGATAAATCTCACAAAATTTCTCTTAAGAGGGTCCTCACAATAAAAGGTCAAATGTGTTTCCTTTGGATGTTTGGTGCTGGGTGCTATAATAAAGAAACCTGTGGGCTGGGAATTTAGCTCAGTGGTGCTGCCACCTGCCTTGCAAGCGCAAGGTCCTCAGTTTGACCCCTGGTACAAAAAAACAACAACAAAAAACCTCCATTTTTAAAGTTTCCCTCCCTCCCTCCTCTCTCACAAAATTCTCTTCTTGACTTGCCTATCACAGAACCCGTCTCCTTCTGGAGTGAAATCTAATGAGGAATGGAGAGCTGGGAGGTGTGCTCAAAATATGTGGTGAATGATTAATTAAAAGGTTACAGTAAAAAATACATTGTCATTAATCTCTTTTAAATACTTCTACTTCAAACACATTCATCTCACTTTTGAAACCAGTTCTAGAAGTCCTCTTTTGTTTCTTCATGAGACATGATAAAAAATATGGTGAATGCTGCTGCTGAGTGCCATCCAATGGGAAGGCAGAGTCGTAAAAATATTACGGAGTAGCCTTATCCACCTTATTCACCAGATATGGCACTGTGTAACTTGTGGCTCTTCCCAAAGTTGAAACAACCCTGAAAAGTAAACATTCTGAATGGGTTCAGGACATCAAGGCAGCCACGATAGTGCAACTAAAAGATACTCCAGAACTGCCTCAGGAGGTTGTAAGAATGATGGGTTAAGTGTGATCAAAGAGAGGGGGAATAGCTTGAGGTGGATTAATGGCAATGTGTCTCTTCTGGTAATACATTTATATAAACATTTACTATATTTTATGATCACACCTTGTATGTAGCTACCACTCCCCTGGCCTCTCAGTTATTCTCAGGCAATAAAAACAAATCCTTTTGAGCTGGAAAAACAACAGAAAGATTTCAGGTTTGAGCTCAGTGCAGCCTGGTGTCTGGGTTTGTGCATGCCATCCGTGCTTGGGCTCTTTATGAGTTCCTCTTGTCTGGCAGCTGCTGAGGGGCTGCCTGCCTCTGTGGCTGACCTCCTTGTGGACTGAAGAGCTGGACTTATGATAAGGCATGCCCAGGTGGATGTCGCAGTCACTGTCCTGGGGCCCTGGGAAGAGTCTGTCCATCCCCTTAGGGCCTCTCTGAGTGCTATCCAGCCTGGCCACTGCGTGTCCCCCAGGGCCTTCTATTGCTGGCCACAATGATGGGCAGTGTCTGCTGCATCTGTTCCCATCTTTCCCTGGCTCTGGTGGCTGGAAGGGAGCCCCATCCCCAGCCTCTCTCAGTGTCCTGCAGCTGCTTTGCCTGGAGCCCTGGACACCAGCGTCACTCGGGCCACTGTGGGTCTTGCCTCTGCTCTCTATACTCTGCCTCTGGCCTCGCTCTTTTACTTGCCAAACCTAAGGAGGCCAGAGGCCAGGCCAGGTATCCTGGCCCCCTCGCTCTTCCTCTGGTCCCACTCCACAGCTCAGGATGTCCTGCAAGGGGTGGGGCAGGGGCCCTGATGGAGGGCAGGGTGTTGGGTATTACAGGATGTTCACGAAGGCCTTCTTCCCAGTAGGTTCCGTTGCCTCAAGGGATCTGCGCTGATCTCTCCCGGTGTCCCTCTGTCACTGGGAAATTGAGGACTTGACTTTCAAGGAGAAATTTAGAGCTCCAGATAGTGGGGCCCTTGCTTACTCAGGAATAAGCAGGAGCCAGCAGCCTTGAGAGTGGGTGAGTCTGTGAGCACGGGGCCACTTAGCTGGGGCTAGGCTTTCTGTTTGGGGCAAGATTGTGTCATCGTTGTGCCTGTGTCCCCACTGATTTTGTTCATGCAGCAGGGACTTCCAGTGTCTGCGTCCTTTTAACTCCCTGCTAGTGGAAATGGTTAGGACTGGGGGCAAAGAGGAAAGGAAACTGTTTTGTAGGCTGAGAGGAGAGGATGGCTCTCACATGGGCTCTTCCAACGGTTTCCCGGCCTGGAACAGCTGGCTTGCTTTCCATGGGTGTGCAAATCCTTAGTAACCTGACTGGCATAGGATGCTGAGAGCCTAGGTTCCTGCAATCCTGTTAACACACACTTTACATTTTGGGGGAAGAGGTGGGGTCAGCTGCAGGAACATATATAGCCCAGAGGGAATCTATACCCCAGGAATATATTTGAACAGATATGCATAGTTTGTATTTTACCCAAATGACGTTAAGTTGCACATGGCTATTCTGTAACTGATTTCCTTCTCCCTCCCCTTAAAATTACATCAAGGACAGCATTCCTTGGTGGGTCACAGTTATTCTGGCTGAAGAGGAGTCCATGGTCTGTACCACTGTTTTATCACTTTGCAGCCAGTGAGTAACGTTGGCGGAAAGAGACAAACTGCAGGCTTAGGAAGTTTCCTAGAGCCTAGTGGGAAATGCAAGCTGTTTGAGTCTATTGTAATCACAAATGCTACAAACTTGCCCTTCTTTCCAAAAGAAGATGAAATCCTTTTTGGAGCCCCCCTGAAGGCTGGTACAGTTGGGATGGGGTGGGGTGGGGCTCCACCAGCCATGTCAGATCCTGCACACCCGCACCACAAAATGGTGCAGCTCCCAGCTCTTCCCAGCAGTACCTGGTATCTACATTGAGTCACTGACAACCCTGGGTAGGATTTTCTCAGGAGGTGGGAAGCATGGGCAGCATATTGGTTAGGTTCTCCAGAGCAACAGAATCAATAGCAAATATGTGATTAATTATACAAGGGGATTTACTAAGAAGGATTATAGGATCCAGTGTGGGAGAGTTCACAATGGGCATCTGCACAATGGAGAGCCAGAGGACCCAGCAGCTATTCAGCCCAAGAAGGTAGAAATCACGAAACAAGAGGGATCAAGAATGCAACACCAGTCCATGGTTGAAAGTCTGAAAGCTGACTATAGGATTGCTGGTGTGAGCCTGTATTGGAAGGGTGAAGAAACTGGAGTCTGATGTCCACAGGCAATGGCAGCATAAGACGCACCTGCTCAAGCAGAATGGAGTATGTCAAACATGCACCAATTAATTTCTCCTTTCCCTTTCATTCCTTCTAGGCTACAGTGGTTGATGCCACTGACAACCCTGGTGGATCTTCCCCGCTTCAATTTGCTGGCCTGTTTGCCAATAATAGACACACCATGAACTGAGCTTTTTTTTTTGGTCCCGGGGATTGAACTCAGGACATTGCGCTTTCGAGGCAGGCGGCAGAACCACTGAGCTAAACCCCGGCCCTGAACTGTACTTTATTAATCCAGGCATTTCTGATCCAGTCAAATTAACATATCACAGTTAACAGTCACAGGAGGGATTTCTTTTTCTGGCCATAAATCCACAAGGTCACAGGTCCTTGGAGAGTAAAGCACTTTGCCTTATCTGACAACAGGTGAGTGTTTCTGCCAGCATCCCAACACAGTTGAGGAGGGCTCATTAATAAAGAGATGCTACAGTGAAGGGGAGGCATAGGGAAATACAGGATGGTGTAGGACCTGTAGCTAGCGGAAGTGGAGGGCACCACTAGTACCACCCCTCTGTCTGGGGCAGAGGGGCAGAGAGAGGTGCTGAACCTCCAGAAGGCAGGGTCCTTTGGAGAAGACCACCTCCAAGGGAGCAGTGGCCTTGTGGGGAGGGGTAGAGTGAGTCCAAGGTGGTCTATGGAGAAGGAGTCAGTGGAAAAGGTAAGCTCACAAGAAATAAGGACACTCCTCTGTGTGTGAGTACTAGCGAAGTGATACATGAGTGCCATGCTAATTCAGTGGGGGGGGCTGTGCACACATG